ACTTCTAGTCCTATTTTTATTAGTTGTTTTTTAAACCAAAGAGGTGACATATATTTTGAATCCTGGCATGCAAGAATTATAAAGTTATGACATCAATTTCCATCAGCCACATTCAAATTGATACAGCTATTTCATAGTCGTTCCTCACAGCTAGGAGATGTAATACAGTAATTCATAGTTGTTCTTCTTGACCTGACTTATTCTGTCAACATCTGAAATATCATTGTATATATCATTCTCTTGTCTAGTGAATTAAATGGCAAGTTCTTTGAGGGCAGTGATGCCCTTGATCTCATCTGCTCCTCCACAGTGGTTTGCCCGGTGTTTATAAGTGGGGTCTCAAATCCTACATACAGGATTGATGGCTGTGGTATCTTGGAGAATTATACACTCGCACATTCTTAATGTGTATATATATAATCAGAAGAGACCAGTCCCTGGAAAAGGACATCATGCTTGGAAAAATGGAGGGGCCGTGAAAAAGACAGAGACCCTCCACAAGCTGGGTGGGTGCGGACGGTGGCTGTGACAAGGGGCTGAAACATAGCAACAACTGTGAGGCAGGAGCCGGCAGGGTTTGGTTCATCCACAGGGTCACTAGGAGTCAGAACCAAATTGACAGCCAAAACCTAACAGCCAAACAACCAAGACACCTTTTGTTCTTCCTTCCACATTTTAACATCTCTGAACTCAGGACACACCTGACGGTCTATCCAGTTTTCTGAGTCACCATGACCTTGGGCTGACATAAGTCTCTTCTGGAGACGTTTGATTCATTTTGGGAACAATTAGTGGGGATTTAGACGGCCATCCTGCTGTGAGCACCAGCCTGTGGTACAAATTCTCAGGAGAGCTTGGTTTTCTACCCTCCCCTCAGAGCAAAAGGAGCCCTGATGGTGAAATGGTGACCTGGTTGGCTGCCAACAGGGAAAGTAGGCAGTTCAAACCCACTGAGAGCCCCGAGGGGGGGGCGGGGGGGAAAGACCTGTGTGCTCCCATAAAAACAAAACAAAAGCAAAACAAACGCCAAATCAGACCCACTGCTGTAGAAGGGATTCTGATCCCTAGCAACCCGGTGGGATCAAGCAGAACTTTCCCGTGGCAGGTCCAAGGCTGTAAGGGCCATAGAAGCAGATGGCTATATTTGAACCACTGACCATTCAGCTCACAGGTGAGTGCTCCACTGCGCGTCCTCCCTAGGAAGCCCATCAGGCACAGCACACACCACAACCTCCTAGCAAGACTCGAACCTGCAGGCTTCTTCTCAGTCTTTTCTCTGTGATTGGCTGATTTCAAGTTCACATTCCCAGGGAAGGTGGAGCCTACTGGTGACCTACTTTTTAAAAAAAGTCATTTTATTAGGGGTTCATACAACTCTTGTCACAATCCATACATACATCAATTGTATAAAGCACATTTGTACATTCATT